GCGCGGGAACGCCAGAACGCCGAGCTCTGATTGGAAGGATTAGGGGGTAGACCTAAAGCTATAGCTGCCTTTGTCTCCATTGCACTCGTGGAACGCGTGCAAAGGCGAGAGCCAAACGCCTGACGCCGGCGTTCAGCGTCCTGACGGGCTCGACCAGTGCGGTGGAGACAAAGGCAGCTAGCTTTAGGCCTACCCACTAATCCTTCCAACCAGAGCTCGGCGTTCTGGCGTGCCCTCTCGTCTCCTCCTCTCCCTCCGTTTCTCGGCGCATTGACACAAGGCCAAACTTAATGCTTATGCAGTGCGCCTGTCTGCTGTATGGGCTGCATTTAAATATCGTCACTGTGGGAATCCTAAAGCTTGATGACGAAATCCTGGGGATCGCATTAATTGTTGACAACGCCAACGCTGCGATCCCTACGAGGGTTCGTCATCAAGCTTTGCGCGGAAGGGACAGAAAGAAAACGTCAGTTTTTATCCTTGAATTTATTCATGAACAAAAAAAAAAAAAAGCTTCTTGGTCAATAGTGTTGCGTGCGAGCAGGCTTGGATTCCAGTAGTGCCAGAAGCTTCTGTACGGTGAGAAACATTCCTACCCAGTATGTCATTGCGCGGCCTCTTTAATTACTAAAGCGAGCTTGCTCGTTACGGCACATATTTCTCGAAAGGAGGGTGGAGTTTGGATAGCGCAACTCTCCGATCCGGCTCGATGTTGAGCTGGGCCTGTCCTCCGTGTTCATCAACGCCCCTACACGCCAAAATCTTTTTTTAGTTGCCGAGCCGTTTTGTGTTTTCCCGCTGAATCTGTCGCTACCATGCTTGGGTTCGCGACCCGCAGTTTAGGAAATACAGCCGTAGCACACGGGTCCCAGAATCAACCGACGGACCTGCAAGTCGGCTTCCTTCCGTTTCTCCACTATAGGGAGTATTCATTGGACGCCATATTGGAGGGCGATGTTTAGAGCGCATGCTCGGAACGAGCTTACGGTAATAAGCTGCTAAGACCGGCAATCTTGGTGGTGCGGAATGCACGTGGCGAAAGAACTGTGGAAGCACGCCGGGAAGCACGCCGTCAGCACGCGCTCCGGAGTCGCGCTCACAACTATGGACGCCAGTGAATACTCCCTATAACAAGTGTCATCGCCCAGCCGCGATCTCCAAGGAGTCCAAGGCCGCATATTTAACTCAGACGGCCGTGCCTCGCCAACACGTGCCGAAGGCTTGGAACGATCTGAAAGCCATAAGCGCTTCCCCGAAACGAGCACGTGAAGGACGATACCTAAAAGAAGCTTGTGGAGAAACAATGTGTAAGACAAACCAATCGGCCACACCGTTTCCCCCAGACGTCGGGATTGTCCGAGGGTTTGTCCGGCTGCACAAAACCGGAGACGAGAGACGACTCGCAAATAGTTCTAACCTTCCGAAGGGTCACGGACAACCGTTAAAAACACACGTACGCTCCGTCAGAAAAAAAAAAAAGAAGGAAAGATAAAAAAAAATTCATGATGTAGCAAACGAGCGGCACCTCCTACGCCAGAATCCCCTCGGGTGATGTCTCTGTCCCTAAGTGAATCCGCCTTCCGGCATGAGGAAAATGAAGCTTGTATGAAAGAAGTGACGCAAGCGAGGAGGGGGTCGTCAGTGCGCCACCTCTGCATCAGCGCGCGCCATGACGGGGGAATTTCCCCTCGGACGTCGAGATTGTTCTCTTATAGAGGTGCCTGCCGAAGCGACCGACCGCAGATGGAGCCCTGAGGTCTATCAAGCTCCCGGATTCCGCAAAACACGTGAGTGTGCTTAGGAGCATAACGTTCAGATTTAAAACCGTATGAAATTATTGTTACTAGTCGATACACAGCTACATTGGCGTCGCCTGAAGTAGACCACTTTCACGTTGGTTTCTGTCGGCGGTTTTATGATCACGTTCACCCCAACCGTTCTTGAAACGGTTTATATACCTCATTCGAAAGGGCGCCCCCTGTTGGAACCTGTAAACTGGCGGTTGCACAGGACACCGCCAAGGTTGGATGAAGAACTAATTGCTCTTCATCGCCGACTTATGTAGTTCTAGACTTGCATGTTCCTTGGTGTCATTTGTTCTATACCATTGTGCGGTGGTTCCGACCTTCAAATACTCCGCGCGCGACTTTCGTAAGAGGTATATTGGCGGCGAGATGTTTCGGTGATTCCCTCTCATGGCTCCTACCTTGTGGGACGTAAAGACTAGGGTCATCGATCGCCAGCGACAATTTCCGTGGTGCGTAAAAAGCACGGTAGAACCTTGTATTTACCGGGTCCTAGACCAACACCTTCGAAGTTGATAGTCTGGCATTCTTCTTGTTTCCATGAACGAAAGTAGTATTCATTATACTCAGGACGTCATAGTGAGCGAATGACCAATCGTGGAAGGCCGACCGGAACGACGCAACGGATTCTGCTTCGAACAAGGCGGCGTCATCCTTAGCTTCACCCTTTTCTTATCAAACGCCACCAGGCGGTGCTGCAGTCTTTGACGTCTCAGATAACTTCCGGTTCATAAAAAGAATGAACAAAATCTACCTTAACACCGCTGCTTGCTCGACGATCAAACGTTTAACCAACAATTATCCAGGTGAGCGCCAAAAGAACGAAGAAGCACGAGATCTGTTCATTTTTTTCGAATATTCAAGTGAATCACCCTGCCTCCTTCAAGACTTTAAATTATACGGACGAAGGCCTTCGTTAAATCTCCAACTTTGTTGTCCGTGTAGCTTTTATTCTTTTTTAGCACTGGTGACATAAGCAAGCTCTACAGGCATGCGAAAACGGAGCGGCCGGAAGTCGCTGGGGACGCAAGCGGAAGCTCATGTTTGTAAACAGCAGAATGGTCTATAGCCTACTTTAACACTTCCCATCATTGTGAAGGTCATGACTTAGGCTGCGCTATTCAACTCCAATCACTATTTACATACCCTATCTTTGGTTTGCAGTACATTGCTTAGTCTCTATTTCCAGTATATTGTCCTGAAAGCTCATCAGATCCGAATAATGTGGTCAAAGTTGAGAGGAAATACAACTATTTCCGGAAGGGGAACGCTTTCTTGTTTTTACTTCAAATGCACTTCCGTGTTGTGTACAGGGTTGTGGAAAGCGCAGGAGTGCGAGCAGTTTAAAGGAACTTAAAGCCACGCACCTTCCAAGATCACGCGATCACACCGTTGCCTCCAACGTTGCCTCATGCGAGGGAAAAAATAATCATGTCCGCTCTAAGCTGACGTCTTTGGCAAGTGGCCGAAGCGCCCGAAGCTGTGCACAACGCGCCGGTTTTCCTCGTCTTCCAAGTCTCGTTCGCTTACATCGTTACGCTAGCTAAATACTTTTTTTTAGCACGAGTCTGCCGATAGTATTATTGGGAAATTTGTATAGATTGCAAAATCGACGATTTGGCACGCAGTAATCTTTACTCGACGAATTAAAATAACGAATAAAATTACAAAAGTAAAAAAAAAACAAAAACGAATATTATATTTTGCTTTATAACAAGTCCGAGCGCAGTCAAAGGCACGAACACATGCAACCACGAACACGGATACTAAAAGCGCGAGCCACTGGGACTTCACCGCACATGATTCGTTCAGCCGGTGACAAAACAGGTACGGAAATATGACGTACAATATGACGTTGCGCTCTTCACGCTATTTGAATGGTCTCATCGGCTCGGAGCGTCGGCTGCGCTCGGAGTTCAAGGAACTATGCAACACGTTTTGTACTTTCAGTAAATACCGCTTCGAGTAAAGACTGGTTCACACGTCTGCGCTGGTTGCGTTCGAATGCGACGAAAACGACCGTAACGACAAAGTCACCGGGACAAGTATTCTCCGTACACAACATAGCAAGCGATGCAAGGGGTATCGCTTCGCCAAGCAATCCACGAGTCACGGTTGTTCCGGTGTTTTGGTCCTTACGATCGTTTCGGTTGCATGTGAACGCAACCATTCCAAATGTGTGAACCGGCTTTTAGACGATCATAACCTATAAGGAGTATTCACTGGACGCCATATTTGTGGGTGCTGTTTAGAGCGCATACTCAGAACGAGCTCACATCAATAGGCTGCTAAGACGAACACTCTTGATGGTGTGGAATGCACGTTGCAAAAGAACTGTGCAAGCTCGCCATCAGTTCGCGCTCAGCATTCGCGCACACAGCTATGGCCGCCACGCGCTGGGGTTGGCAATGTTACAGGGCACGCGCTGAGTTCCAGACATTGTTAAGGGTTCGGCTATTCAAGGTCATCGCATTGATTGGGCACGAGCTACTATCCGAACGCGTTTCGAGGCATTCACCGTCACGAGCCTAAATCGAATGATGACGCAGTGCTCGTGTCCACTGTACGAGTCGCATTTAAATATCGTCGACGCGGGAATTGCAAAGATTGATGATAAATGCCTGGAGATCACATTGTTGACAGCACCAACAATGCCATCTTCTCAACTTCGCCCTCAAGTTTTCCGAATGAAAAACCCAGAGAAAATGTCAGCTTTTATCCTTGAATTAACGCGTCGACAAGGAAGCATCTTGGTCAGTATTCAGTCGTGTTGCCTGCGAGTACTTGAGTACCCCTAGTGCTAGTATAAGCCTGTGTAAAGTGAGAAACATTCCTACCCAATATCGTTGCACGGTATACCTTTAAGAGGATAAGAAGTGCAGATGTGTCGTCCTGTATTCGTAATCTTCCTTCTTTTCTGCTTCTTTGTTGTTTGTTTTAACAGTGACTCTTGGCAATTTTAGTATGTTTGTATCGGGACCGGTACACTGACATTAAAACGTGCGCGTAGCAATTTGTTTATCAGAAAGAAACACATTCTCGAACTGTCGGTCTCATATATGCACGAGTTGTGTTGCTCTCCCCGACGTTACCCAAGGTGTCTGGAGAGTATTTCTCAAGTGCAGACATGTTGTCCCTTTTCCTTTACAAAACTTGTTCGCCTTTCCAACCTTGAACCCTTCCAGAGACGTGAACATGAAAAACGCCGCTCTTCTACTCGTGGCCGTGAGCTGCCTCGTCCTCCATGAAGTAACCGCTGGCGGCTGGGGCGGCGGCGGCGGCGGCTGGGGTGGCGGTGGCTACGGAGGTGGTGGCTACGGAGGTGGCGGCTACGGAGGCTACGGAGGTGGCAGTTACGGTGGCAGCAAAAGTCTCAGCATTGGCATCAATTTCCAAAAGAGCAGCTACGGCAGCTTTGGGTATGGAGGATACGGAGGTGGTGGACACGGAGGATATGGAGGTGGTGGACACGGAGGCTACGGAGGTGGCGGATACGGAGGTGGTGGATACGGAGGAGGAGGGTATGGATATGGTGGCGGCGGCTACGGAGGAGGCTTCGGGCATGGACATCATGGTGGTCTCCTTAAGCACAAGTAAGCTGAACGTGTCGGACACCGTAAATATGCCGTACCGAATGGGCAGGGTTAACACCCCCCTCTTTTTTACAACAAACGCGGTCTAAGTAAATAGAAAAGAAAAAGGACAATTTAGATCAGTTCATTTCTTATCTCCGATTGTGGTGTTTGATTGGACCATCATTTGAGGAAATTAGACGCGGCATCGCGTATCCTAATACGAGCATTGAGACCAGTAACCTTTGGGGCGGGATGCCAGCTAGCTCGGTGGTTTAGATTTAAATCGCGTAAGGATCTTTGTCATAGGGCACGGAAACATCAGTTGGAAGTGATCCTTGTAGCTGCTTTTCAAATGCTTGTTGTCGCCTTACTTAGCGGAAGTGAACTGAAGATAAGAATTAAAAAAGAAAACATTCTCGGCACAGTATTTGACAGTGTAGCACTTGCTCTCAACTGTGGTCGCCATGTTTAAGGTTTATTATATTTGTCGTCGCCTGCTCAACTCTTACATCGCGCCGCTTTTGTACCATCCAGATTTACAGTTCGACTGCCGCAACTGCAAAATCTGTGTTTTTTATCTGCGACTCTTATCTCCCATACAGCGTATAAAACGTCCTAAATTATTTATTTAGGTATTTATTTGGCACCTACATCGCCTGGTAAGGTAAGGGGGACGGTAATAGTTATACAAAAGCGAACATGTAGCAGAATGAGCGACAAAAAAAGAAAACAAATCATACAGGGGGAACATGCCAATAGATACTACAATAAGATGAGAATACGATCAACAGCAAGCACAGGTCGAACAAAGTAAACCGTCAAAACAGACTACTATTACATGATTTAATCAAAAAAGGATTGAATCTTAGGAAGCCCTACAAGTGAGTCGGGCAGCTCGTTCCACTAATTAATTGCTTGGGGGGAAAATAAATATTTAAGAACGTCGGTACGTCTAAAAAAATTCTCAGATCTTCTTTCTTTATTTTTTTTTTATTGCTAGTCCGAAGAGAACTGCGGGAGAGGCTCCGTCCCCAAATGCTCAGAAAGAAATGACGTCACTACACCACCCAATAAAAGTGCACTGTTCAGCAGTGCACTATGGTTCAGCGCTCTTCTTCTTTTTTTTTTTTCATCTTTCAAAATTGGTATTAACAAAAAAAAATAATAATAAAGCTTTGCGTACCTAAAAATAAATGCGCATCGACGCATTGGACATTAAATTGATCGTTTTTTTTTTTCCTTGGTGGAGCTACATAGAGCCAGTGAAATAGCTACACTTCAGACTAGCGACAATTCAGCCACCTTGGTGCTTAAAATGTTTTTGTCGCCAGTTATTTGAAGTTTTATCTGAGATAGCCGTGAACGCTTTTTTATCCTCCATAAACATTAAAGTCCGCGCAAGAGCAGGGCGGTATTGCCTGACGTAATGTACCTAAACCTCAAAAAGTCGTATTCCTGAATCGTAAAGATCACAAGCTGCGCCCGCTTTGCGCTAACACCAAAATGGCGGCGTCCACGAGAACATCGGCGAATGAGGAGACTAGTACCACTAAATAAGCTACGCTTCAGAGTAACGACACTTCGCCATATTGTGTCTTAAAATCATGGTTGCCAGTTATCTGAAGCTTTATCTGAAATCACAGGAAACGCTTCTCCGCCCTCTACAAATGTTTAAACAGTTCGCGACAAAGCAAAGCAATCTTAGATGACCTTCCTAACACCAACTCTAATGCTGAGGAAGCCTCCCTTATGAATCAGGACGATCGGCAGTTGTGTCTGCTCTGCATACGAGCCAAAATGGCGGCGCCCACAACAATGTCGGGGAACGGAGTGCCGATACTCTAAGCGCAGCTCATTTAGTGGCTCTAGAGGAGACGATACACCAAGCGCGTAGCTTATCTGGTGGCTCTGTAGTAAGCGTCTGTGGCACGCGTGACTCAACTGTTGCGCGTGAAGTTGGAACAGCGCTTCATCTGCCGAGGTCCGTAAGCTTCGGGGAAGGATTCACTTGGATCACTGGTACGATCTAGGCTCTTCGTGTTTCAACCATCGTAAACTTTACTATAGGTAAGGGGGCCGGGAGTCAAGACCTCGTTTTAAGGGTGCACAAACTAAACAAAAATGGTTGAGATTTGAAACGATTCACCCAATTTAAGTTTTCGCTTTCTTTTTTTCTTTTTTCTCTTCCAACCAGACTCAGGAAGCATTTCGGACATTTCGGCTGAACCAAAGCAACTGCCCTCCTGTCGCCACCAAAAAGTGATGACAGCATATTTTTTCTCAAGGTACCTGCGACAACTGCTAAAACACACACAAATAAAAAAAATAAAAACGAAAGAAAACAGTTTACCAATAAAAGCGAACTTTTATGCGAAAAATCTGCGTATTGTGACAAACTGTAGATACCGCATATTTCAAAATCATATGCAAGATTTTTGTTTTGTTTTGTTTCTTGTGGATGGTGGTGTTGCTTGTCTATTCAGTGTCCTATTACTACGCGCGTCTTCGAGTGAGCGCGCCCATGGCCGAGTGGTAGTCGTTCTTGGCTCCAACGCAAAGGGCCGAGGTTCGATGCCTGGAAGCGGGAGCACCTTTTCGTTATTCCTGTAAATGTCGCGTTCTGGTAAATTCAAGAACCCTGTTGCTTGTTCGAGGTCCGAATATTCTAAGCGCCGAACCTTAAAGGGGTACTCTGGCGGTTTCCTCATGGTCCCCGATTTGCTTCAAATTTTGCTAAACTCGCCAAACAACATCGCCAAAATAGTATCCCAAATATTAGGTCAAAATAATTTTTTTCCACGAAGTTATTGAATTTACAATTTTGGTCCTCACCGTGTTTTTCAAACTGAAAGTCTCTACTGGCAACAATGAAAAAGTGACGTCAGTGGAAGTGCAGGGGTTCACTCTTTGGACTGTAGAATTTGTTCCCACCTGATTCGAAGCAGTTTCATGGTGTCAAATGAATGCTTTGGAAGCTCGCTCCAGTCCCCGCGCTCCAGCACAGAACGAATGATTGGCATATTCTATTTTTTAGACTGCTCGCTCGACTGGCAAGCTTGCCTGCCACTGACGTCACGGCACTGAAAAGTGCGCGTATATTTGAATGTTGGTTTTTGCATCATTTTCATTTGCCGATTTTGCAATAACTATTATGAATTTCGCGATACTAAATGGCATACCGGAAAGGGTAAAGGAGGGGGAGTCAGAAAATTTAGTTAGTTGAGGTAGCTCAAAAAACCGCCGGAGTAAACTTAACGCCGACTGTTTCAGAAGCCCACGCGTAAACGTAAGGTGTACATGGCGAGCCGGATTCAAGGCTCTGTTGTCCTCCGACGTTGAGCGCAGCGAACGCAGCGTGGCGCAGAGCGGGCGCTTTTCATTGGCCGGCGAGCAGGGACTCGATATATCTGCGACCAATCAGCATCTGTGCACGCTGCGCTATGCCGCGTCTGCTACGCTCGACGTCGGAGTATAACAGAGCCTTCTTAAATCTCGACCCCGCGCTCGATCCTGCTGTTTCGCCAACATCGACGCCTGCGACGCTAGTCTTCTAATTTGTTTTGGGCACAAGTTCGCCCCATTAAACGTTTAGTTTCCTTCTGTCATTCGTGGCCTCGTCAATTGTCGTTCGTGACATTTTGGTGGAGGTACGAGGTACCGCGTTCCATGCCCGTGAAACGTACCCCTCAGATGGTCTGTCGGGCTCGATCTTTTTCAAGTCCCGGAAAGCTTATCCCCGCTGACCAGCCGCCGTACCAAAGGCCTGCATCCTGAGTTCGTCCTTCTACCGTCCAAGCCAACGACTGCGGCCCCGATGAACACCGCGTCGCAGCAAAACGGAATTTCGCCGATTTCCATCGTCTACGGCAGGCCCCACCACGGACGCCGTCGACTTTCCATGGCGACCTTTATGAGGATGTGGACGACGGGTTGAGCCAGTACGAGTGCGTCGCCCGGTTCAACGGATGGGGGGGCTGAGCAAAGCCCACGGAACGTCTACCTAGGCACGGCACACACCTGGTACACGCACCTGGTACCACCCACCTGATGCGAAAACCACAAAGCGTCGATTTCGTCATGGGACAACTTATATGCTGATCTTTGACGCAGGTTTGCCAGCCAGCAGCGACGACACCGGGGCCGTGTTCCAAAATTTACTCGATCCTACTCCAAGGTAAGGGTTTTGCACCTTGGCGTTCTAAACCCTACCCGCGTCCAGCGTTTTTCAGTCTGTGTGACGACCAGCGTCCAGCCTTTCAGTCTGTGTGACGACCAGCGTTGTGTGACGACCCGCGTCCAGCGTTTTTCAGTCTGTCTGTGTGTGTGACACTACCCGCGGGTGTAACTCGGATCCATTTGGGTAAGATTTGGAACACAGCCCGAGTCGAAGAACTTCTGCAAGCAAGAATCCATGGGCCGAACTAGAGCGTCACAAGTTTCGTCGAAGACATACTCCGCCTGACGAACTGCGCCGACCCAAACGCTTCCGAAGAGAAAAAGCTGTGGGTTCTGACGCGGGTAGTGAAGGAGAACTTCTTCGGAGGCCTTGTGTGAACCCCGCCTACCACCGTCCAAGGATTCGTCACTGAGGGCATAGACATCGAACCTTGGTCCTTTGCGTAGAGCCAAGAACGATAACCATTCGGCCATGAGCGCGCTTGCTCGGAGAATCGTGTAACAAGGTTCAAGCCATTCTGCTAGCTTAAAGGGATACTACAACGAAATTTCGGCGCTCATTTTTTGGTCTATATGTGTTCAAAAAAGCATCATCAAATCGAACATACCAATATCTTGTTAAAAAAGTCACGAGAAGGAATTTTAAAACGAATTAAACGATTAGCAAAGAGCACCTGGTGGATGTCGCTAACGCCTCGCCTGTAATGCCCGTCTAGCAACTTTGGCAGCTAGTGACGGAGGTTGTCTCGCCTCCGGCCACGACGAGAGAAGGGGGGAAGGAGGAACTCCCCTCATCCCGAGAATGCCTTTTGTGTGTCACAGAAGTCGCTATTGTCCCCCTACAAG